CACCTCACCATCTCTGCTGAAATACTCTTGATAAGTTACCAGTTACCTCTCTTCATGCTGTACTCCTAACTTTGCCTCCTCCTCTCACATTTCTTGATTTTCCCACAAAGTTTTCTGAGCTTGCTATTCTTTAATGTTTGTTCTTACCTGAGTTCCCTTTTTGACTCTCTTTACTTCACCCAGTCAGTATACTACTAGATTTAGCCAAATCCATTACCTCATTGCTCTCTCCTGAGCTGTATTCACCAACCAGACCTTTCTACCTGGTGAATCACTAGCACCAAACCCATCACACAGGCTGAACCCACATATTTTCCCAACTAACTTTGCTATTGTAGTCTCTTACCTTCCTAGACATCTACTTTGTTATGTATAAAAAAATAATCTGAGGCTTTTCTCTTCCTTCATTTTAATCCTGACATCAAACTGATTACTTCCTAAAGAATGCATATCCAGTAGAACAGTAGCTCACACTTTTAACATCTTCTACTCAAGACATGGAGAGCAGGAGGATTGCAGTTTGAGGCTAAATTTGGCAAAAGTTAGCATGATTCATTCTCAATAAACAAGTTAGAGTGATGGTTCATGCCTGTAGTCTCAGTTACTTGGAGCCATAGGTAGGAGACTGTGGTCCAGACTAGACCCTATTTGAAAAATAACTAAAGATAAGAAGCTCCAGGGGAGCTGGCACAGAATAGGCCTGAGAACCCATGGAATAGAACAGAAGACCCAGGAATGAACCCATAGACTAATATCCACCTAATATTTGATAAGGGAGCTCCAAACCCAAGAAAGATAGCCTCTTCAATGAATGATGCTGGCAGAATTTGCTATACATGTGCAGAAAAAAAATTGGCTAAATCCTATATATCACCCTGTACCAGAACTAATTCCAAGTGGATCAAAGACCTCAATGTAAAGCCAAATACCATGAAAATATTACAGGAAGGGATAGGGGAAACACTAGAGCTCCTAGGCATGGGTTGAAACTTCCTAAGATCCAGAATCACAATAAATCAAAGAGACTGGATAAATGGGGTTGTGTCAAACTGAAGAGTTCTGCATAGCAAACGACATAGTTAGCATGATAAATAGCCCACAGAATGGGAAAAGATTTTTACCAGCTATGCATCAGACAAGGGTCTCATATCTAAAATAAACTTAGAATTCAAAAAATTACCCCCCAAAAACAAATCCTCAGGAAACAACTCAATTAATAAATGAACTAAAGACTGAGAGACTTCTCAGAAGAAGTAAGAATGGCCAATAGACACATGAAGAAATGTTCAACATCTTTGGATAGAAAATAAATGTAAATCAAAACAACATTGAGATTTTACCTCTCCCCAGTCAGAATGGCCATTATCAAGAGAACTAACAATAACAGATGCTAGCAGGTATGTGACTAAAAGGGAATGCTACTCCAGTGTTGGTGGGAATGTAAAGTTGTTCTACCACTCTGAAAAGCAGTATGGAGGTTCTTCAAAAGACTAAAACATAGAGCTTCTCTATGACCTAGCAATTCCCCTTCTGGGCATTTATCCACAAATAATGCCACACTAAAGCTACCAGCACAACCATGTTTATTACAGTACTATTTACTATAACCGAGCTATGTGATCAACCCATATGTTTCTCAGTGGAACAAATGGGTGAGAAAGAATGATACTGCACCATTCATAAGGAAATGTAAAGACTTATATTAAGTGAAGAAGCCAAATCAAAAGATACATAGGTTGCATTGTTTCCCTCATTTGTAGCAATTAGAAGGTCCCTAAAAATCTACAAGTAGATACAATGGATGGTAAAAAAAAAAAAAAAAAAAAACTACACTTGGACATGATAAATTTAATAGAACTCTAAATGTTCACACAGTGAGACCAAAGGAGGATATTCTTAGGGGAGGATCACAAAGGCTCAATAGCTATGTGCATATGATCACATAAAATGATGTTTTTTGAAATGGACTCCACGAAAAGGAAACAAGAAGGCTTTTTTGTTATTTTTCTTTTTTCTTTTTCCACCTTTGTCGTTGTTTTGATTTCTGTACCTTTTGCCTTATATGTAAGTTTATCTGTTTTAGGGAGGTTGGCAGGCATAGAAATGGTGGGACAAAGGGTGAACAAATGCAGTAGTGATACTAGACACTATGTTGAAAATAAATTATATAACTTGTGTGGGAGTGGGGTAAGGAGGGAAAAACCTGTGAGAAAACAAAGGAAGAGGTGACACTGTTCAAAAAGAAATGTGCGCATCACCTGACTTTTGTAACTGTAACCACTCTGTACATCACTTTTACAATATGCACAAATAAATAAATAAATGAATAAATAAAACAAAAAAAACGTTTTACAAAGTGCCAGGGGAATAGCTCAGTGGTAAATGCTTTGTGCTTACCTAGCAAGCTGTGAATTCAATCCCCAGCACAACAAAAATAACTAAAAATATATCCCATGTCCTCATCCCTTTTCTACTCTTGCCATAAATAAAGTCAGGCCATGATTATCTGTAAAACCCTCTTGATTAGTTTTGTCTCTAGTCTTATACCCTCCAATCTATTCTTAATATGCTGTGTGAAGATCTTTCCAAGTTTGGCTGTTCTGAGTCTATCTTTTCGTTAGGCACTGGATTCCTGATTTATTCTCATTTTATTTTTTATTCTCATTCCCCTTCTTCTCTTTTCCCACCTGATGTTCTGGGTTGAGTCAACGCTTCATAGTTTTCTGAACCAGCTACCCTTTCACATGTTCATCTCCTAGGTTCTCTTCTTGGGAAAGGCAGAGAAGGCCCTGGGAGGTGGCTATTGAGTTGGGACTTGCAGGATGAGCAGATGCAAGGGATACCCAAGGTGCTTGATAACAAGGAGTTCGTATTATATGGGGGAGGCAGTTGATATACAACTACAGTACTTTGTGATATGATATATGAGAAGTATTTACAAATGGGAATAGAAAGGCAGCAAAGATCCTTGACTCTGATCAAATCTTTTCAACTCAGTTAGGTGTCTTAGTCTATTCATATTGCTTTATGTCTTAGTCTACCCATGCTGCTTTAACAAAATATCTCCAGGTAGAAATAAATGAATAACATACATTTGTTTTAGTTACAGTTCTGAAGTTTCGGAAATCCAGGACCAAAGTGCTGGCAGATTTCATGTGTGATGAGGACCTTCAGAAGGCCTGATTTCCAGCATATACAGGTACTTTGAACAAGAGTGCTCTCTGGGGAGTACTCATCCCCTTTAATGAGGGCCTCATTATTATGACTTAGTCATGTCCTTCCAAACCACTTCCAATTACTACTAGACTAGAGATTATGTTCCAATATATACCTTTTGGGGAATCACATTCAGGTCAAAACACTGAGTTATCTGCATTTACAAAGTATTTAACTGGGAAAACCTTTCCAAAACATTAGACATATAAATGTTGCAAAGTAAGTCCAGTTGATTTTGAAACAGTCAATGTATCAGGAACAATGAAATGTATCAGGATGTCGGGGAGCCAACCTGAAGATAGGATGGTCTTTATAAATTAATCTCCTGAGATCTTCTCTCTCTCTCGTTCTCTTTCTTTCCTCTCTCTCTCTTTCTCTCTCCACCCCCCCCCCCACACACACACAGAGCCAGTACTGAGGTCAGAACTCAAGGCTTGGACCTTGCTCTGCTTCCTTATTGGGCTGGTGCTCCTGTCATGCCCTCAGCCTGGCTTTTTACTGAGTATTTTTACTGGGTATTTTGAAGATGGAATCTCCTAGACTTTTCTGCCTAGGCTGACTTTCAACCACAATACCATGGATTTTAGCTTCCATAATAGGTAGGATTGCAGGTATGAGCCACAGATGCCGGTTCCTACCTCTTCATTTTCTCTTAAGTAATCTTTAGTTCCTGTGTATGTCCTTCATTTCAGTCAGTATTATATAGCTGCCAAGCTAGGCAACCTGAGAGCCATCCTAGATTCTTAATTCAATCTATAAACTTTTCAATTTCATTTCCTAAATATAATCTAATTATATTTATTTCTGCTTTGCCACAACCCAGTCCGTCTCAAGAGTGGTTGACCTACTGGCTGACCCAGTGGTCAGTGAGGTAGAGACTCTATGGGATGCTTTCTCCTGTGATTTGGAAATGATGGAAAAAATCTATTACCAAATATTTTGAGTATTCCCCCAGTCTGTCGGCCCCAGACATCACTCCTCTGAATATACTCCAAAACGATAGACAGAAGAATTTAATACAGGTAATGCTTTTCCTTCCATTTACACTATCATAAATTACAAAGTATTGTTCACTTCACAAAATAAAACTGTTTCCAGATAATCTTTGACAGTATCAAGAAGTACGTAAACTACAACAAAACAAAACTGTACAGTTGGGAGGAGCACTGAGAAGAGGACCAGGGAGAACCAGTTTGAGATCCAGATGCAGCACAGGCCAATGGCAGGGCCAAGGAGGGGCATCTTCCCAGGAAACAACTCACTTTGGTCCTCTTTTTATTCCATCTGACACACAGCAATTCTCTTCTATCCACTCCAAAGCAAGACGGGTAATTACATGAATCATTTCAGACAATCATTTCAGACACTGCAGTTGAATTTTAAAAAGAAATAGAAGGTTTACAATTTTCAATGTTTTAAATAGTTCACTTATGTTACAAAATATAGAAATCTTGGTGTGAAAGGCTCATGCTAAGATAAATATAACCAACAGGATGAAACTATAGTAATAAAATCATATTTAATTATTATTTCCCATACAGAGAGACTTTTTTATTAAGGAGGAACACATATTTGGTAAAAATCAACATTATTCATTCTTACTTTAAAAAATAGGTTTGTTTCTAAAATGAAAACAAACAAAAAATCCACAATTATTCTGCAGGTTCATTGCATTGACACAGAAACATGACAAGAGGAAACAAGAATCCCATGTGCCATTACTATAACTCACAGGTCCTGGCTGGGAAGAAAAGAGGAAGAGGAAAAGTGCTATCAAAAAAACAAACAAACATGGCCCAGATACATCCAGTGTTCTCTAATCATTTCAAGATGACCACATTCTGCATGTTCTAGGTGACTCACTCATCATAGGGGAAAGCTGCGAATAATTCTATGATATCCTTTGGGAATTCTCAACACATTTATGAAAAGAAAATTTGTATCAGGCCATTCTCTAATTGCTATGAATGTATGCTGAACAATAGCAGAATGCAAGTGCTTAAGAGCAAAAGCTGTCCAAAAAGCTAGTACATATATGGGAAGTAAAAATCTCATGGAAAAGCACTGGTAAGGATGAGAGGTATGTTCAAGATACTACTGCATTTGTGGTCAGCATTTTCTGGGCATCACAGCAAGAATGCAGGACAAAGAATGCAGGGTATAATCAATCAATGCACTGCATTGAATTCTATTTGCTCAAATAAAATAACATTCTTGCAGCCAACATAAAAATACATTTTACAATATAGGTTTCATTTAACATTTAACATATAGAATTGTCTTCTTTGTGTAAGCGAAAAATGTCTAACAGTATCAAGTACCTTTCTGAATTAAGTTCCCTTTTGTTACTGATAAGACTGAAGCTTAATGGTCTACATTGTTTAATAAGTTAAAGAAAGATTTATTAATCACTCTTCCAGCAAAACAGACATACATACGAGGCACAGCAAAAGACCCAAGGCCAGGGGTTTTCCCACCCTAGCCCTTGTTCTCACATGGGGGTGGGGGGTGGGGCATGACTGAGACCTGGCTCCCAACTCTGCAATCCACTGTGGTCCAGGAAATTCTGTCACTTGTTTAAAAAACAAGTGTAAGAAACGTTTTTATTTCTTTTGCTCTATCAGCTTGGAGAGGGCGAGGGCCTTTCCATGATAGATTAGAACAAAACATCTTCATTTTCTATTAAAATCTGCACGATAAGCTTCTGGTACCGCATGTCATGGAGCGTGGTGAGGGTGCTGTCCTCGGGAGGCCTCATCAGCGTGGGCCCAAACACTATCCCCAGATTTTCTGCATTCATGAAATTGTCCTTTTCATTCATAGTCACCCTGCAAAACAAACATGGGCACTGACACACGATGTAGACTTGTAGCTGGATTTACATGCTGACTCTGTATTTAGGTCTGAAAAGCAAATTGAGAAGCACAACCACAGAAAGTGTGTGTGTAAGGTTGGGTGTTTGTGTGGCAGTCCTAAGGTTTGCACTGAGAGCCGGGACTCTGTCCCTGCGTTTGTTTTTTGTTTTTGCAGAAGCTAGCACCATACCACTGAGTCACAGCTTACTTTTCTGGCTGTGTCTTCTTTTTTATTTCTGTGGTGACTAATTGGTGATAAACTCAGGGACTTTCCTGTTCGGCTGGCTTTGAACTGTGACCCTCAGATCTTAACCTCCTATGTAGCTAGTATTAGGACCACCGGGTCCTGGCTAGAAAGTTGTTTTTTTTTTTTTAAACCATTTATCAAAGCGGTTTATGAATAAAACGAGTCTTGATCAATGTCACCCCTTTCAACATTTTCACCCATCCATCCCAACCTACCGCTTTCTGTCACTTTTCTTAATTTTGTAGGGTCTACATTGAATTCTTGACTGTATTCTCCTTTTTCTTTCCTCTTCATTTGTCTATCCATCTCCTCTTGACCATACCGCACCCCTTTTCAAGTGCCCATTTCTTGGTGTTTATTTTGTGGAAGTTTGACTTTGTCTTTCTAAGGAATTACACTAAGTTCTGCTTTGAGTCTAACATATTTCAGTTTCTACACGTCATTATACACTTGCATACCACCCAATGTATTTACTTCTATGTTTATAAACTAATTCTGGCTTCTAATATGGGAAAACATGCAACCTTTGTCCCTGCACCTGACATTTCACTTAGTATAATTTCTCCAGGTTCGTCCCTTTCTTTGCAAACAGTATGATTATTTTTGAAAATGCAATTTTCAGATTTGTTTTTCCTTTTAAGTTATTAACATTGACTTTACCTAGTGGGTGAAGTGGAGCTAAATGTGGAAATTAACATGGTGAAGTGGAAATAAAAGTGGAGCTAATAGTTAAGGAAATTGGTTTGGAAGGGCAGAACGTGATTAGCTGGCCTATGGTAACTTCATGAGTTTTCTATGGCTGTCTGGTTTTCTTTTCTACATCCTATTGGCTATAACACTGAAGAGGGCAGCTGAGAGGAGGCTTCCTTGTGATGGCAGGGCTGGTGCCAGGAGAGAAAGGTAGCTTTTAGAATGGGCTATCGTGAGTTTAGGAAGAGCCAGCCCATTATCATTGGAAGGAAAACACATTTTTATGAGTTACATGTCGGAATCTATGATCATCCTAGATCTAAGCAACAATCTTACAAGCCAGGAAAACAGAAAGCTAGGTACCTAGTGTTGGTTTTCATTTATTTTAAAGACATTTCTTACGAGTCTTCATAAAGCACAGAAATGGCCACCCAGATGTTCAAAGGTCAAATTATTCAGAAGTCAATTTATTAATCTCATTAAGAATGTACAGTGGAACAAAATGCAAGGTTTAAGGAGAAGTGTCTAAAGCTAGAAGCACCAATGTTCCATAGCATCCAAAATGTCTCACACACTTGGACAAAGATGGTATAGTGTGTGGTAGGTACTTTCCAAGTTGGCCCTCAATAATCCTTACCTGAGAATATGAGTAGTAAGGATTGTTACTTACTTCTAACAAATACAGTAACAACAAAGGCAATAGGATGTTATGGGTTTAGGTTCCAAAAGGTATCTTTCATTTTGGGTGCTCTTGTGTGCTAGGAGGGAAGCTGTCTATGAAGGTCCCCACATGGCAAGAACTGCAGGTTGCTTCTAGCAAATAAGTCAATGAGGAAGTGAGCTGGTGAGCACAGCAGTCTTTGAAAAACTGTATCTGCTAGCTACCTGGCAGAAAGCCTGAAATTTCATTATAGACCTTGAGTCAGAAGTTTCTAGCTAATCCACATAGATGACAGTACATTTTTCTTGTTTTAAAGTTTTAGGACAATTTGTTGCTTGGAGACAAAAACATAAAATAAAACCTCATGTATAAAGAGCAATAGAGATTATGGTGGGACTATGCGCTCCCAAAAGGCAGCTGGGCCCAGAAGACTGGGCTTGGGGTACACAGTAGGAGGGCCATGGCTAGTATGGTAAAAAATGGTAGTATGGAGGCATTGTGAACAGAAAGGATAGTTAAAACTGAATGTGGACTCCTTTTCTTTTTGTCAGTTGTGGGATTTGAACTCAAGGCTTGGCATTTTTGCTCAAGGCTAGCACTCTACCACTTAGAGCCACCGTGCCACTTCTGGTTTTCTGGTGGTTAATTAGATATAAGAGTCTCACAGACTTTCCTGCCCGGGCTGACTTTGAACCATGATCCTCAGATCTCAGCCTCCTGAGTAGCTAGGATTACAAGCATGAGACACCAGTGCCTGGCTGAGTGTGGACTCTTGACTAACTTCCCTGGTTCTCAATCTTAGATTTATCTGTCTGAATTACCCATTCCTGTCCCTAAATGTCAGTCATCTCAGGGGGTAACCCTATGTCTCTAACAGTAGCTATCTCTTAGGGATAGTAATTGGGAATTGCATGGAGCAGATATGGCACAGACTTTGGATTCCAGAAGCTAAGACTAGGGCTGGAAAGGGCAGTACAGTTCACTTTAAATTAAATTTTACTTGGTGGTTGGGGGGGCAGTGCTACTGGGTTTGAGTTCAGAACCTCCAACTTTGTAGGCAGGTGCTCTATGACTTGGGCCATGCCCCTTTCCCTTAGCATACTTTTAAAAAAGTGTCTTATCCCCTCTTGAAAAAAGAGAGGAATGTGTCAACTTTTGCTAATGCATTCCGGCCCCACAGGTCAGTCGGTGAGGGAGATGTTGACTTACTTCTTGAGGTGGATCATTAGGTATCGCAAGGTCTCATAGTGGGCAGGAGGCAGCAGCAGCAACACTTCGTGAACCGCTTCCAACCTCTCATCAGCATTGGAGATTTCTGTAGCAAGCACGGTGAACACATGTTAGTGACAACTGTGACATTCAAGTTTCCAGAACATAAAAAGAGGCCTGTTTTGTTTGTCTTAGACACAAAGCAGAAGAGTTTAAAATTCATACAGTTTCAGGTACTATTTCCCCTGATCCTGTATCCTGCCTCCTTCCAGAAAGACATGGAGCTCAAGTATTATTACCACATGCTGACTCACTGTCTGTGATGTAGGTGGCTGAAGGCTGGATGATTCTTCATCCTGCAGGAATTGGCACAGGTGCAGAGTGTGCCTGATCCTGCTTTGTTTTTTTAAACAATTGTATTTTATTATCCCTAAGGAGTTGTTTCAATTCAACCTGTCAGTTTATGAGTACAATGCATCTCGATCAGTGTCACCCTTTTATTATTCTCCCCCACCTCTCCAACCCCACCCATCCTTTCAATTTTCCTATTTCCATTTTCACAGACACGACTGAAAAGCATGACTACATTAGCCCACCCTTTTCTCCATTCATCTCTGTCTGGTTGACATTCTCCTGCCCCCAAGAAAATATATTCCAGTTTCCTGGCATTCATTTTGTTAAACTGTTCATTCATTTATTTTGTTCACCTGTGAGTTGGTTGTGTTAGTTGTCCTTCTGAACACTGGATTTGCTGAAATCTCATTATCTCACTCTAATTTCAACTATACTACCTGTGGTACCCTTGAAGCTGTCTTTATTTAATGTGTTTTAGTTTGTTTGTGCAATGCAAGCACATTGCTACATGGAACAGGTAACTATGCCTATATTAAAGGTACTTTTCACCAAAGTGGTGGTGGAGTTAACTCTACCCAGGTGAGAAACAGATACATTAACACAGGAGGACATGTGTACGGATTTTGAATTTCCTTTTAATCTCCACTTTTTTTTTTTTTTTTTTTTGCTAGTCGTGGGGCCTGAACTCTGGGCCTGGGTTCTGCCCCTCAGCTCTTCAGTTCAAGGCTAGTGCTCTACCACTTGAGCCACAGAGCCAATTCCAGCCTTTTCTGCTTATATAAGAAATCAAACCCAGGGCCTCATGCATGCAAGGCAAGCACTCTACCACTGAGCCACCTTCCCAGTCCCCGGATTTTGAATTTCTGATATTGGAACTCGAAAAAAGCCCATCCCTCCTGAGTGAAAAGCACCCAGCAACTAGAATCTCCCTAGGGCCATCAGAACCCAAGGAAGAATTTTTTTTTAACTACTGACTTATTACTACGGAAACATTCATGCTTTCTCAGTAAACACCATAATATCCCTACTGCACTGGTTCTTTTATACAAGGGCGATGAGGAAGGACAGAGCAGTCTGGGCCCCAGCTTCTACCTGAAGATTTGGCTTTGTATAAGTTCAGCTCACCTGGTAACCTTGGCCCAATTTACTATTGATTACACAGGTGTACCCTCACTTGGCAAAACAAGCACTCATTCAATCATTAAAACAGTTCCGAGTTTAAATTTTCTTGATCAAAAGCATTATATGGAAAACGTTGGGTAGTAGTAGTTCTCTGTACTTACTTGCTGCTTCTATAAATTTGGAATAGGTATCGTATGTGATGACAGGGATGGGTAAGTCTCTGAAATACAGTTTCAGGGCTCCAGTGATGATGTTGATGTCTGGATAAATACTGGCAGATATATCTGCCTTTTCACCATCTGAAACATAGTTTATGATCCAGGTTCTAATTAAGATTGTATTTCACCAAGTTAGAGCATGCACAGCAAGAAAATAGATATCCAATAGTGAATGTTCCCTGACAAGTCTTAGCTAAATCTTTTTTTGGCTTCTAATAACAGTGAGGCACAGGAGGTAACAGAAAGGAGTCTGGTAAGAGAGGGGTAGGATCTGAGGTAAAGACAACAGGGTAATGAAATTTAACACAGTTTTTTTTTGGGGGGGGAGGGGAGGTCCAAGACCTTAGCAATTTGATAAAAAGAAGTTTCACGCATAATTCATATTACAGATTCAAACAATGACCATGGAATAAAAAGGAATCAAGAAGTTCTACTGACTCTATTAGTATTCTTTGGCCTCAAAGACATACACAAAATAATTGTGAATGCCTTCAGTTTCTTTTGATTCTTGCAGATTTCCTGAAGTGTCTTTGAACTTGACTTTCCCCTCATGGCTCCTGGGAATTTAATCTAGGAGGCTTTGACTTTGCCTCATATATAAGTAAGACTGTATGTCTTGGTACTTTATTTTATAAACATTCTTAAGATATCTTCTGACTTTTTATTTTACCATTAGTAAATGCTACTCTATTTTAATTATCAAAGAGTATATGAGACTTTTCAAAGAAAATCTTCAATCAAATGGGGACTGTCAATAACTTTTATATGGAGAATTAAAAGGATAAATGTCTCAACAGTTCATTTATTTATTTTTATTGCACTGCAGTCTGAACTCAGCAACTTGGACTATTGCTTGAGCCACACCTCCTGCCCCTACATTTGGTTTTGAAGCTAAAAACAATGCTGTGAATGTGCAGAAAACAGTAAGAGCAAAGCAGGTAAGAAATACCAACCCAGTTACTTAGATATTTAGTAAAAAAAGTTATTGAAACTTTACATATGCCTATGCTTTCATGGTTTAACTATGGTGCCTCAAAAACAAAGAGACACCACCTTTACATAGGACTGGAAAGAAGGAACGTAAGACACACAGCAATGATTACTAGGTGAAAAGAGGGCATGGTGCCACACACAAAAAACTTGTTGGAAAAGGAAATGAAGTTCAGGCCATCTTGTGGTGATCAGGGAGACTTCATGAAAGATAAAGGACTTCTGACTAAAAGGTGTTTTCCAGACAAAGATGTGTATACGTTGCAGATGGACAATGTAGGACACGACTCTTCCTTAGGACAGTTATGAAGGTGCATTTCAGGACTGTTGAAGTATAACAGGAATGAGGAGCCAGATAAGCCTGAACTAACAGGGAAAGCCGCATCATTAGAGACTGCATCCCATGCAGTAGGTTATTGGTTCCTTCCCTGGACTGGTTCCATTAGAATGTCTTGGCAAATTCATTAGAAACTCATATTCTTGGGCTCCTCCACCTTTCTGAGTGAGTCCTCAGGTTTGGGCCCTGACAATCCATATTTTATTAGGTTCTTCGGGTTGGTTTATAGTTGACCTAAGAGATTCTAGACACTGGAGAATGGGTGTCACAGTGACAAAGAACACAGGAATTACTTCCTCAACTCCACTGGTTTAGTGCTAGAGACCTTCCCATCCCCTTGCTCCTTTCTTTGGAGCTTTGAGAGAAGGTCTTCAGGATGGGATTCTGAAATGAGGATACAGAATGCACTGTGGGCTGGTTACTCATTCTACTCATCTACCAGTGTGTGTGTGTGTGTGTGTGTGTGTGTGTGTGTGTGTGTGTGTGTGTGTGTGTGTGTGTGTGTATGTGTGTGTGTGTACACATTCACACATGCCTGTCCTGAAGCTTGAGCACACAGCCTTATGTTCCTGTTCAGCTTTTTTGCTCAAGACTGGTGCTCTACCACTTGATTTACACCTCTGCTTCCAGATTTTTACTGGTTAGTTGGAGATAAAAGTCTCACAGCTTTTTTTTTTTGGCCAGGACAGGCTTCAAATTGCAATTCCTAGATATTAGCTTCCTGATTTGTGAGGATTACAGGTGTGAGCCACCAGTACCTGGCTTTATGAGTCTCTTTAAATTTTTTAAAATTTTATTGTGAAGATGCTGTACAGAGGGGTTATGGTTACACGAGTAATGACATGAGTAAGGTAATGGACATTTCTTGTCCAGCATTGTTACCCCCTCCTTTGTTGTTCTCCTTTTATCCATTCCCTTCTCCCCTTTAGTCTTTCAAGCTAACTTTCTTATGGGGTCATTTGATCCTGGCTTTTAAGGGGAAAAAAAAGGCTTTCCCTTGGGCTAGGAAGGTAGCTCAGTGGTAGAGCGCTTGCCTTGCATGCTCGAGGCCCTGGGTTCGATTCCTCAGCACCACATAAGCAAAAAGAAAAAAAGCCGGAAATGGCACTGTGGCTCAAGTGGTAGAGTGCTAGCCTTGAGCTGAAGAGCTGAGGGACAGTGTCCAGGCCCAGAGTTCAGGCCCCACGACCAGACCCCCCCCCAAAAAAAAAGGCTTTCCCCAGACAGGCATAACTGGGAGATTTTTAAAGCATCATTCCTCAGCTTCCTGAAGAACAATACGTAGTGGTTCTGAAGACCCTTTTCTACTATGAATAGATGCTGGCTCCACAAGAGAGGGCTCCTGGGACAAGCCAAATGGCACTCAATGCTTACCTCTATCGAATGCCATCTTGACATCTTCGATGTGTTCTGTGAACCCAGAGACTCGGTAAAGCCCTTCTGACTTTAATCCTGTGGGGTGAGAGGTGGGAGAGAGGAGAAGAGATTTTTAACTTCAGTTTCCTGAAACATCTAAAAATAAGGATTCTAATTTCATATTTACACTGTGTGCTATCAGGAAATGAGAAAATATAGTTAGTGATCTTGTAAATCATGTCCCATTAACGTCAGAGCTGGGTCTTGCCGGTCCCTGTTTCCACAGAAGTCTATCTTCATTTGCTTGTTTATGAGTGGACATCTTAATGGAGATCAGGTCTTCTTCCTGCCTGGCTTTGCAAAGTGAACTGGTGTTTCAGATTCTCAATAACCGCAGTTCACATCTTCCACCGTTCCTCATTCCGCTGGACAGCTATTTTACTGCTGTGGACAGGAACCTGGCTTTCTCCCTGTATCTTTTTAATCTATATGTGGGATTCTATGCACTACTTCTACATGTGTGTGATACACTCTATTCTGATTTCATTGGAGAAATGTATATTTCCCAACTTTATGTTTAATCATAAATAAGACAACATGATAAATAACATTGTTATATCTTCAGATAGCTGATCATAAAAAAATCATGTGGGAAAATAAAATTGTATTTGTTGATTCTAGAAACTTGGTTGCTGTATACTTAGGCTAGGAAAAAAAGCCTTGGCTTCTTGAGCTTATTGCTTTGTTAACTTATGTTCTAAAATCACTCTTGTTCCTTAATACACTGTGGGCAATATATCAGATTAAAACAGCAGAAGGAATAGAGGATCAGGTTTCAAATCTTGAATGTCAAAACCTAGTTGTCAAAATTACAGCTACAGAAAAAAAACAAGCAAATACCTTTTATAGTATAATTTGTTGCACTCTTGTTAATTAACACATTTGTATTTTTTACTTTAGCAAACATTTATCAAGCCTGCCCTAGCAAATATGTATTATCTGTCATTTATATGGGTTTCCATTAGTTTGCATCAGAGACTACAAACACATGGTGCAAACACCATCATCTGCTCTCTCTCTTGTGACTACAGCCAACATTCTTAGTTGACCTCAGATCTCTTACCCCAATATCAGCTGACCAGATTGCCACTGATCAACTAGAGGTGGCCCACAAGAAGAAACCCGGGTACCATTGTATTCCTGATGGCAGTGTATACTCATCTTAGTATGGTTGTGACATGAACTTCACTGAGGTGACCTCGTAATAGTTTACAAAGAAGTAGCCCCTGTTTGTTGGAAGAAGAGACCATTTAGGAAGCTCTTCTTGAGAAGCTAATCCCTGAAGAAAGTAATGAGGGTTGGGTTAGAGTTCATAGAGTAGTAGGGAATGCCAGCTGATTTTCTGATGCTTATGCTCTCATTTTTGTCTTAAATGGAAACTTTGTTTTTTTTTTCAATAGATTGATTGCCATAGCCATTAAATTCTGGAGAGTACAAAATTGACAGAAGCAAAAGTATATACTTTTGGGGTGTGGAACTGAAGGGAAAGAATCTCTTTCCCCTTCCCATTGGTTGGACTGCAGATGAGATGGAGTTAACAAAGTTGGATCATACAGATGAAGATAGTGCTCAAGTATAACAGGAAATTGCAGGGCCTGGATTCCTGCCATCATGGAACTGCTCAGCTAGCCCTGGACTGTTTCCAGTGCTGAGATTGTTTCTGGAGAGATAAGTTTTGGTTTCCACTTTGCTGAAGACACCATAGTTTGGCATTTTTATGGCAACATTAAAACCCATATAAGTAAACAAGTCTGCTAACAGGTTTGAAGGTAGAATTAGGTGAGTTGGCCATTCTAAGAGATGTTGCAAGAACGCAGATCAAGTCCTATATTTTGGCAACTGTAATAGATCATTTGTGTGTAAACTCATTATGAGGTACAACTGAGTACACTCACTTTATAAATAAAGGAAGAATCCATTCAGACAAAATAAGCAACTTCCTTAAGGTCACATTTACATTGGTGGCTATACAGTTGGGAACATATCAGGTGAGTTTTGTTCCAGTGGATCACTGGGTTCCACATACTTGCTCAGGCCTCTGTAGCTCTAATCTCCCACTGAGACTTTGCTGACATAAATGCCTAATTTGTGCTATTCTATCCATTGTAATAGGCATGCTTAGTACTATGCTCCTAAATAATAGACCTAGTGGTAACTTTGGATTACTGAATTTTCTCAGATGAAGATCACCCATGGGATGATCCAAACTTCTCCATAAAAGTAATTTCAGTCTTTGACAATGGTTTCTTCCAAATTCCAAAAAGTAGGACCCAGGTCAACTGTCCCTATCTTTCCCCCAGAGTCAGGGCAGCCCCTTCTCCTCTTAGTTACCCCAGCCTTTACACCAATGTCTTTTCTAGATCTCAGGGCATTTATTGCTCTGAGAGCCATAGCAGAGAAAAGGTAGGAGGCCTTTTTAAGGCCTGTGACTACAGGAGCAAGTCATCAGGGAATAGAATAGCTATGACTTGCATAGACCAGTGGAGAGAATAATTTCTTATTCCTAAAATAAAGATAACAAATTACAACGTTCTATTTTGTTTAGTTTTGGAATGAATGAAATAATTGGCCAATGATTAGACACTTATAGGATATGTTAAGCCAATGCATACTATGATAGACATCAACTATAGCAGGATATAATAAATGGATATAATAGTTAAAACATTACAAAGGTCTTATATATGGACTGGTTATCCAAGCTATATCCAGCAATTCAAGTTCTTCTAAGCTAATCACAGTATGAACACTGATACTGAATAGTAGCCAAAGAAAGCAAAAATAAAGAGAATTCCAGTGCAATTTGGAAAGTGTTTTTGTTTTCCTTGTTGCATTGATATTTTCTTTTCTTTTTTCTTTCCTTTCCTTTTTTCCTTTCCTTCCTTCCTTCTCTCTCTCTCTCTCTTTCTTTTTTCTTTCTTCTTTCTTTCTTTCTTTCTTTCTTTCTTTCTTTCTTTCTTTCTTTCTTTCTTTCTTTCTTTCTTTCTTTCTTTCTTTCTTTCTTTCTTTCTCTCTCTCTCTCTCTCTTTCTTTCTTAGTTGTGGGGCTTGAACTCTGGGCCTGGGCTCTGTCCCTCAGCTCTTCAGCTCAAGGCTAGCATTCTACCACTTGAGCCATTGCACCACTTCCCGTTTTTTTGGTGGTTTATTGGAGATAAGAGTTTCATGGACTTTCCTGCCTGGGCTGGCTTTGAACGGTGATCCTCAGATCTCAGCCTCCTGAGTAGCTACAATTACAGGGGTAAGCCACCAGTGCCTGGCTGCCTCGATATTTTCATTGCATAGATCTTTACAATTTTTTCATGTTTTCTTATAAATAAACATGACCAATATTAGAAGTGGAGTTTTATCTGAAAGGTAATAGTATATGTAGACCAACCACTTTATTACTTAAGTTCTTTTTATTGTGTCAGTGTTTATTGTGTGAAGCTTGAACACAGGGATTGGGCTCTGTTCCTGAGACATTTTGCTCAAGGCTGGTGCTCTACCACTTAAGTCGCACTTCCACTTCTGGTTTTTGGGGCACCTAATTAGAGATAAGGATCTCACAGACTTTCTTGCCCAGACAGGCTTTGAACCACAATCTTCAAATCTCATCCTTCTGAGTAGCTAGAATGACAGGCATGAGCCCCTAGCTCTTGTCAATATAAGCACTTAGAAAAAGATTATACAATAAATAAATAAAAATGGTCATTATCAAGGTTATGTACAAAGGAGTTAAAGTTATGTAAATCAGGTAGAGAGTGCATTTTTAGACAACGTCACCACTTCTCTTGCTCTAACCCAGTTTTTACCTCCCAGTTCCCACTCACAAGTTGTATAGTTCAGTTTCCACATAGTGTCTAGTGAGTACTGCTGCTGCATTCGTTCATCCTTTGTCCCTCCACTTCTGTACTCCCTTTTCCCTCCCAAAGACAGATAAACAAATAAACAAGACAAAAGGAAAAGAAAACAAAAATAGCAATGAAAGAAAAAAAACCCCTCTCAATATAAGCACTTTTAAAGATCCAATTCAAAACCCCTCTCCATCAGAAGTTGTTCTTAAGTGTCCTTACATAAGAACAAGACATTTTTTCTCTTTAACTCCATGGTGTTTTAATAGGGTCACCTGCAATGTGCATTTGTCCTTCTGATTTCCCATGCCACATAAGAATTTCTTTAAGTTGTAAATGGTAGTTCCTTTCATTATAGGAAATAGAAACTGACACCAGTACATGGACATAGGTTATTTTCCTGAATGTGTTTCTATGTGTGCAGGTCATTTTACCAACAAGAGTTGCAGAATGTGTCAGTTTCCTTTGGTAACAGTAAAAAATAAGGAGTAGAGAGTATACTACTATAGCAGTCTAGGAGAGAGCATTTTCCAAACCTCTTGCTTCAATTTCTCGGATGCATATGTCAACCACCATGGGCCTCTGCGTGTTGTGGGCTTTCACGAGTGTGGTGAGGTCACAGCAGTACACTTTCTTGATCCTCTTGAGATCAGGTTGGCAGTCGTTGGGAACATGCTTGGAACACTGCTTGTGTACGTTCAACCCACAGTCTGTAAACAGAGAAGCCACATTAGCCTTGCCCAGCCCTTTTGTCAAAGCCCAACACAAATTATATGTTGCCAAAAATAAAAACAGCAATACCAAACTGTTTGATGTCTTTTTCTGGAACACCCATTCCATGTAGAGGTAAGATTCTCCACTAAATGAATATGAGATTCACCTTGACTCACTAAGCTTACATAATTGTATGTTTTTTTCCCCCCTGCCAATCCTTTTTTTGTTACTGGATCATGAGAATAGGACACCTTGTTGAGATAGTTGAGGACTTAACCAGATTGTTTACACGTTTTCCCCTTAAGCTGGGGTTCACAATGGGCTTTTGCATTAGCAATAATCATGGTTTATAAAGGGCACTGCTGTATTCTTTTCTTTTTTTTTATTGTGAAAATGCTGTACAGAGGGGTTACAATTACATGGGCAAGATAATGAGTACATTTCTTATCAAGCATTGTAGCCTCCTCCTTTGTTTCCCCTTCCCACCCTCCACCCAATCCTCCTCCCCCCCCCCCCCCCCCCCCCCCCCCCCCGTCCACCAAAGTTGTAAAGTTCGTTTTTTGAAATAACGACTTGTACGTCTCATTGTTGCAATGGGTCCACCTGTATCCCTATTTAAACGATTTGTTTTTTCCTTTCCATCCACAAATTATAACAACATCAAATACAGTGAAAGCAGGGGTTATACCGTGGGGGAGGGACATACAAAGCAACAAAGAAATAATCTTATAAATGTGTTAGAAACAATCACATGAAAGAAAAAAACATTTGCATACATATCTTAGGGTTCATTTCCCTAACATCAACTTATCTGACATTTTCTGCTTGACTCAGACATATACTAGTTATTGCAAATAAGGGAAACCATGGGACCTATGTTTCTTTGGGCCTGGCTTACTTCACTTAATATAATTTTTTCCAAGCCTTTCCATTTCTTAACAAATAGGACAATGTCATTCTTTCTGATGGAGGCATAGAATTCCATTGTGTATATATACCACATTTTCTTGATACATTCATCTACTGAGGGGCATCTGGGTTGGTTCCATATCTTAGCTATGGTAAATAAGGCTGCAATAAACATAGTGGTGCTGGTAGCTTTAGTGTGGTCTTGTTTGTAAACATTAGGGTAAATGCCCAAAAGTGGGATTGCTGGGTCATAGGGGAGCTCTATGTGGAGTCTTTTGAGGAACCTCCATATTACTTTCCAAAGTGGTTGAACAAGTTTACACTCCCACCAACAATGCAGTAAGGTTCCCTTCTGTCCACATCCCCTCCAGCATCTATTGTTATTAGAGTTCTTGATTTTAACCATTCTGACTGGGGTGAGGTGGAATCTCAATGTTGTTTTCATTTGCATTTCTTTTATGGCTAGAGAGGTTGAGCATTTCTTCATGTGTCTATTGGCCATCCTTCTTTCCTCTTCAGAGAAGTTTCTCTTTAAGTCTTTAGCCCACTTATTTATTGGGCAGTTGTTTCTTTGAAGATTTGTTGTTGGGGGATTTATTGTTTTGAGTTCCAGGTATATTTTAGATATGAGACCCTTGTCTGTTGTATGGCTAGTGAAGATCTTCTCCCAATCCGTGGGCTTTCTATTGGTCTTGCAAGCTATGTCCTTTGCCATGCAGAAGCTCTGCAATTTCATGCAATCCCATTTGTCCAACCTTTCTTTGATTTGTTGTGTTTCTGGGTCTCTATTAAGAAAATTTCGGCCTGAGCCAAGGAGACCTAGGGTTTCTCCTATGCCATCCTGTAATGTTTTCAGAGTGTCTTCTTAGACTCCAAGGTCTTTGATCCATTTGGAGTTGATTTTGGTGCAGAGTGATATATAAGGATCTAGCTTTAGTTTTCTACAAGTAGTTAACCAATTATGCCAGAGCATCATTTACTGAAGAGGGTGTTTTTCTTCCATTCTATTTTTTTAGCTCCCTTATAGAAGATTAGATGGCTATAGGTCTGTAGGTTCATGTCTGGGTTTTCAATTCTATTCCATTGGTCCTGAGGTCTGTTCTTGTGCCAGTACCAAGCTGTTTTGATTACTATGACTTTGTAGTAGAGTTTGAAATTTGGTATTGATATTCCTCTAGCACTGTTCTTTCTGTTGAGGATCGTTTTTGCTATTTGGGGTCTTTTATTGTTCCGTATGAATTTTTGGATTGCCTCTTCTATTTCCTTGAAGAACTGCTGTATTATTTTCTTAGGTCCTTGATGTCCCCTTTGCAGAAGACATAGTTACTTTTTCTGTAGGAGTCTTTGGTCTAAAACGCCCCGGGACTATTGGTATTTCCTGGAAAACTGCCTATGGCTTCAGTCTCTTTCTCCTTATTGAGCAATTTGGGGAGGCTATTCTCCCCTGGACCTGCCTTTTTCTGACACCTGTGAGTAGAAATTCCATCTAAATCTACATCACTGTGAGTATCTGCGAGTTTAGAATTTATGACAATACCATATAATGTGGTGACTTAGAGTAATTATTTATAAAGTTCATTTCAAGAAGTGAAGCTGAATAGGTAATTTTAAGCTCACCAAACACATTTAAAACCTTGGTAGGAGTTGGTATCCACTGACAGAATTTCTCTACCAATAAAATAGCATAGTCTACACACTGAAATGTTTGAGTGTATGCCCAGATGTGGAATTTCCAGATCATATGATAATTCATTTTGAATTTTCTTAAAAATGCAATTTAACATCTGAAGCACTAAGATGGTTTTCCTTGTAGAGTTAACTATTGATGATCTATTGAAATAAAGGTATTGTGTAACAAGCATAAAATGTGTTACATTTTATACTTGTGTTACATGTGTCATACATGTGTTACATGTGCTACAAATAAAGTCTAGATTAGTTAAAAAGACTTAAATTATGGAGAACTGACAACAATGACCATGCTTCCTTTTAACCTTTAATGATTGCAGTCAGCCTTTCTGCTTTTTGGAGGAAACATAGGGTCAAAAAGTACCCGTTGGAGAGAATTAATATTATTGTCTTAGAATGTGCTCTATTGAGAAAAAATAAAATCTGAAAAAAGTTCCCAAACCCTTCATCCTAGATAAAGTTGCTGATCACAGCTAATGTGAAGCCCAGACATCTGTTAAAAAATATTGACTTTGGACTAATTTCTTGCAAAAATTGGATAATACCAGCAATGAGCCATGCTTTCTGGTAAGTTTCAGCTTGGGCAGATCAAATTAGGACCACTGAGTAATTCTGTTAGTCTATACTACTCAGTGATTTAGCTAGGAGACCCTTTACTTTGTGCAAGCCAATTTCTGTTGGAGGATTTGAACTTTCTGGAGAGGCTGTCTCTTGCTGGATTTGCCCCCTGGTTCAGGAATCTGGGATATGGAAGCTGAATGCTTTAAACCATCCAGGTGACCAGGCAGGTGACTGTACTGTCAACAGAGTGGGAGGTAAGAAAAGCCATTCCAGGCAGAGGAAGTCTGAGGCTGTATGATCCTTAGATCCCAAATAGGCACTATGGGAAAGATTCCATGAATGGAGTGTTTGCAAAGAATTGTTTGAACAAAAACAATCAAATCCTAGAGTCAGTGGAAACTTGATTAACACTGGAGCAGGCTGTTCTAGATCCCAGCACAACCCCTTGGAAGCTCAGTGAACACATTCATTTGGCAACCTTTTGGCATTTCTGTGCAATGCATCTTAATAAAATGTGTTGAACTATGTTTGCTGTTAGCAAAGGACGGCTATATCCAATTCTAGGTTAGAAAGAAAAAACAATCTAGATTTCCAACTACTTTGAAAACATACAATATCAAATAAAAATATATAGTTTCACTGTTGATCTGATGGCAAAAAAAATTGAACATGGGCTCTGGAGTCCAACTGCTTTTCAATTTTTCTGGTTCTACCACTTACTATGTGGCCAGAAAGCAATTAACAATTATTTCTAAGACTCATTTCCTTTTTCATTTAATGGGAGATAATTGCATCTTCCCTAAGGTCTTTGGTGATGGGAAACGGTATGGTAAATGGCAAATGCTGAGCCTAGTGTCTATGGCAAATGCTCACTAGTATTATTACTTGGTTTATGTCCTGCCTTTCTAGTAAGATCTTTCTAGTAAGAAAACAAGCATAACTTTTTGATTTATACAGTCTCAGTAGAACTAATTATATTCTCCTTAAAGACTACTGACCATCTGGGGAGTCAGATAGGTCTTAAAGAAACACAGTTGCTTGATAAATTTTCTTTACTTGCACAAGAGAGGCTTTAAACACTCCATAAATTAAGACTTTTGAGTTCATGTAGACATACTTTCCAGCTCTGGAGAGGTGGTAGTACACATAAGTAGAGAAGGAGAAAGAAAGTTTTGTGTCTACCTGAGCAGCGGACTCCTTGGGCAATCAGCCCCCACATGAAATTGGCACAATATTCACACCAGTGAGGGCCTCGGAATGTATGGACCTGTGATACAAAAGAAAAAAAAATAGTATCAGAGGTTCACTTATCTAGAGGCAGGTGGCCTTGAATGTGAAACACATGGATCATCTTGGGAAACAATGGGATCAGCAGGAGTCATCCCTGGCTGGACCTTGTTCTTCCAGTGAGCAGAGTTACAAATGGACCTGGAGAAAACAGAGATGTCCTTTGATCTTTGAAATCCTCCACTGAGCTACCAAGCCAGAAAGGAATGTGGAGAAACAGTAAGATCAAGGGCTATTCTATCAGGTAAGAAATGAGACTCTTCACCCAAAACAAGGTACTGTGTGCTCATACCCAAGATAACCTGACCTGCATTTAGCACAGCAAGTTCTGGAAGGCACAACTCAATTACCATGTCCTTTTGACTAAAGTTACTCCGGCTATCTATAGAATATCCAGCCAGGTATAAATAAGACATGATTATGGGACAATTAAAAAGTTCCAAAACTTTGAGCCACTTCCAAAAAAAAAAAAGAAAGAATAGTCTGAAAATGCAGGCTATGAATAGGGTCTGTGGAATCACTTTCCCCACACACAGAGCCTATATTCAGCAGGCCACGGTGTGGCTTTCACATAAGTTGGGAATCATTCCTGGTTGGCCAAAGTACAGGATGACTCAGGCATCAGCCAATGAAATATCTGCTGATGTGTTAGTCACTTGTTAAATAGCTCAAAAATCTCAAAGTAGGGATAATCTTTATCTCAGACTTTAGCTACAGTTCCTCTTGTAACAGACTCAGATATCATGTCATAAGTTAAAACAGAAACAATACAAAATAAAAATAGTTGCTCTCTGTCAGTAAAGACTTCAAGAAGCAGAGGCAAGCAAATGGGGCCATGATAAGCCAAAAACCATCACAGGTAAGTCTATTAGGGGCACATAGGAAATGGTTCTGAGCTTTTTCCAAATGAAAATTGTCAATTATCTAAGGCATATAAAAATAAAAGAAATGCAGACCATATTTTAATAGACTAGGGGCCGATATAATACAAACTACTTTTATTTAATAAAAAAGTATGGGTCACAGTTTGGAGGATACTCATTAGAGCTCTATTTAAGAGAAAATAATATCACATGGATCTCTTTAATTATTCATACACACTAGTAATGGGTAGATGTCATATGGAACTTACAAATAAGTAAAAACAATGAGATAAAGTTAATAAGTAAAAGAAAAAGTAATTCATGCAATGCAGTGAACTATAATTATCTTTTGCATTTCAGTTTATGATTTGAAATTTGCCTATAATACTATTTGTGTTTTGAAAAACAAGGAAACAAATCTTTCAAAACTGTTTTCTACTTAAAGAGAGACGTATTCTGCAAGGGTATGTCTCAACACATACAATGTGTTCCTTGTAAGAATACAGAGAATCTATGCTGAGGAGTATTTACATTTTCATAGGCTAAATGCCATGATTCATTCAGAGGCCCATTAAAACTGATCTTAGTATGAAAGAAAAATTTTCTTTGTAAAATGTCCTACTAACAGTTGAACATTTCCTAAACTCACTCATAATGAATGCTTTACTAGAAACACTAAAGTTGCTGGCTAGTTTGGGCAATAAAGTAGATTATTAATATACTGTTGAAATGACAAGATCAGTTAAGTGTAAAACGACATGTAAACTACATCAAAACATGGTATGAAGAGGGATACAGAAGAAAAAAAGATCAGGATTTAGAGGTCCCACTGTTACCCATGATGATCAGTGAGGCATCTATAGGATGGTGTCCTAAGGGAAGAGAAGAGCCAGTTTTGTACAGAAAAAGGGGAGCCAACATTCCAGCAGAAGGAATGAACAGAGGCCTTGCAGGAACAAAAGATCTTGACATGATTGCCCAACTGAAGGCAAGTGCTGTCAGAAGATGCAGAGTGAGAGGTACAGAAATTGAGATAAGGATCAACATAGGAAAGAGGGAGTCCTAAAGACCTTGAAGGCTTTATGGATGAGTATGTGTTTGGTTCTAAGTCCTACAGAAAGTTCCTTTATTTATTCATTTATTTTGACAACAATGTTAAAAGGATGGGAGTGTGCTAATAGTGGAATAGATTTAGAAACCATGTAGAAGATCCTTGAGACAGAACAGAGACTGAGACCAGGATGAGAGGGCAAGGGAATGAATGTGAGGTGCATTTGGAATATAGAATTACACAACCTGGGTCTTTATTAAGAAAACACAACAAATCAAAGAAAGGTTGGACAAAAGATTGGTTGCATGGCAAAGAACACAGCTAGCAAGATCAATAGAAAGCCCATGGACTGGGAGAAGATCTTTACTAGCCATACAACAAATTCTCAAAGAAACAACTGCCCGATTAATAATTGGCTAAAGACTTAAAGAGAAACTTCTCTGAAGAGGAAATAAGAATGGCCAATAAGCGCATGAAGAAATGCTCAACTTCACTAGCCATAAAAGAAATACAAATCAAGACAACATTGAGATTCTACCTCACCCCAGTTAGAATGGCTATAATTAAGAAACCTGATAACAACAGATACTGGAGGGAATGTGGCCAAAAGGGAACCCTACTGCATTGTTGATGTGAATGTAAACTTGTTCAATCACTTAGGAAAGCAGTATGGAGGTTCCTCAAAAGACTCCACATAGAGCTCCCTATGACGCAGCAATCCCACTTTTGGGCAGTTACCCAAATGATCACAAACAAGGCTATACTAAAGCTACCAACACGACTATGTTTATTGCAGCCTTATTTACATCCACAGAAAAGATCAGATAAGATGATGTTAAGCGAAATGGAACCCAATAGGGACACAGGTGTTTATTTTTCTTCCTTGCTATTGTTTCTAACATATTTATAAGGTACCATTTGATTTTTTTTTTGTTGCTTTGTATGTCCTTCCCCTATGGTATAACCCCTGTTTTCACTGTATTTGATGTTGGTATAATTTGGGGAGTGGAAGGGAAAAAAACAAATTTTTAACTAGGGATACAGGTTGACCCATTGCAATGATGAGATGTACAAGACACTATGTCAAAAAAACAAACTTTACAATTTAGGCAGGGCAGGGGGAGTTTAGTTGAGGAGGTGAGAGGAAAGGGATAGTAGAGGAAAAACAAAGGAGGAGGCAACAATGCTTGATAAGAAATGTACTAATTATCTTGCTCATGTAATTGTAACCCCTCTGTTCAATATTTTTACAATAAAAAACTTATTAAAAAAGTATTTACAAAAAAGAATTACACAACCTGATAATAGAACAAATGTGAGTATTAGAAGAAGACAGAAATAAAAAAATGAATCCCATTTCTAGCTTAAGAACCAGGGATATGCCATATTGTTTGTTGAGTTAAACACACTTTTAGGAAGAAGTTCAAGAGTCAGCTTTGGATTAGCCAGGTTTAAATGCTATTAGGATATTCAGCTGAGTGTCCCAGGAGTTGGATGGCTCAGAGGAGTTGTGTGGCTAGAGGAATACCCATAACCATGGTATTTTAAATTGGATAAATAGATAAAAACGATTAACAACAGTGAGCAGAAAACAAAGATGCTCAACCCCATATCCTCAGTGCTCCAATATCTATAGAAAAATCAAGAAAATAAAGTATTTCAAAAGACAATGGGTAAGGTGAAGAATGATTTCATGAAGGAATAGGCCACCATACTGAATGGTAAAAGGTCCAATTAATGAAATAATAATTGATTCAAATGTGTGGAAATCACTGGCAACTTTAGCAAGAATAGTCTTGCTGAATTAGTGAGGATAGAATCCAGGATCAAAGAAACAAAACAATAATTGGGAAATGTAGCTATGACATCTAGAAGATAGCTCAATGGGGTGAAAGGAAGGGGGTGGTGGTTGTCATTTGTTTGTTTTATCTTTAGATGTGAGATATCAGGGCATATTGACTTATTTTAGAATTGACATATTAAGATCCTAGAGATACAGAAGAAAGAGGAGATAATCAAAGGAATTATGATCCTGAGAAGGTGAGAGATGGTCAAGTTTAGACAATATATGTATTCAAGGAGAAAACGTGCTAAGATTTTACAGAATTAACAAAAGATATATAGTCTTTATATTTTGAGGAGCTAAACAACTATCAAACATTTTTATTCATCAAAGATAAATTAAAAATAGTCTATATCTATTAAAAAATACCAAAAGATAAGGAAATCCATAAAAAATTTAAAAAATGTTGATTCCAAAACAACAGCAGTTAGGGTAAAAGCAGAATTCTCAGCACAAAGGCACTAGATTATGAGATAACTTCACAAAAATGCTCAGATTAAAATGTCACTAATCTATTTTTTATACTCAGCTAATATCACTCTGGAGGAGGGTAAAATAAAGATATTTTCATTTAAATGCAAGAGTTTTATGTCCTCACTCAGTGACATATAAAAGTATGCTTCTAATTGAAGCAAACATTGTAGCCTGAAAATGAACAAGAACACTGTAAATATGAGTCAATCTAATCAAATCCTATCTGCACAAAACATTCACAGATGACTGTTTTAGATGTTAAAAGGGTGAAAATTTAAAGACTAATGGAGAGAAAAGTTTAAGCATGCTAAGGTCCTTAAAATGTGAGGGATGGTAGAAGAGCTATTAAGTAACATTGAATACTTTAATTATTAATATAACAATATTTTGAGAATATAAAACAAAGGAAAGCAGGATATATAAATTAAAAATACACAAAGGAGACAGATATATAGATTTAATCAGGAAGCAAAATAGATGGAAAAGGCAGTAATGGAGACATGGCTTAAGTGGTAGAGAACCAACCAAACTAGTAAACCAGGCCTCAAATTCAAACTCCAGCTCTACAAAGCAAACAACAAAAAGCAAATGAGCCAGGAGCTCAGGAAACTGAGATTTGAGGATCCTGGCTTTTCAAAGCCAGTTTGAGCAGACCGATCTGAGGAACTTATGTTCAACTAATGAGCCAAAAGCCAGAAATGGAGGTGTGGCTCAAGTGATAATCTTGAGAGAAAAAGCTAGACAAGAAC